ATCCAAAGATAATGTCATCCACATAGGCTTGAGCAATTTGAATCTCTTTGCCAGCATGTTTAATGAACAACGTCTTGTCGATGGAGCCATGAACATAATCATTATCAATAAGGAATGACAATAAACAATCATACCAAGCCATTAGAGCTTGCTTGAGTCCATAGAGTGCCTTGTAAAGTTTATAGACGTACCCCAAATGAGTTTGGATCCTCAAATCCCTTTAGTTGAGCAACATAGGCTTCCTCTTTGATCCATCCATTCAAAAATATTGTTTTGATATCCATTTGGAATAGCTTGAACTCAAGAGTACATGAAATGGATAGAAGCAATCGTACCGCCTCAATCCGAGCAACGGGGACAAAAGTCTCGTCGTAATCGAGTCCTTCAAGCTGAGAGTACCCCTGAATGACCATCATCGCCTTGTTTGTGATGATATTACCCATCTCATCGGTTTTATTTCGAAAGATCCACTTGGTACCGAGGACATAAATGCTTGATGGTAGTTGAACCAGCTCCCACATTGTTTCTTTCAAACTGAAGCACCTTCTCCTGCATGGCTGACATCCAATATTCATCTTCAAGTGCCTCATTAATATTTTTGGGCTCCACTTTTAAATGAAGCAATTCGTTCCAACAAGATCTCAAAAGTTGATTGTCTTTTCTCGTGACATGCTGTCTCTTTGAGGATCTCCAATAATAGCATCAATGGGAAGATACTTGCTAATTCTTGGTCTCCTTCTAACTTTAGAATCTGGTTCACCCTCATCGTTGGATGGTTGTTTACGGAAGGTCTGATCAACCCCTGGATCACACTCAGTTTCGATTGTTGTTTCTTTTGATTTCCGATCTTTCTTTTCAACGGATGCTTCAACATCAGAATCATTGCCTTCTTTATCCTCCAGATCATCATCAAATTGCAATGTTGAGGACTCCATCACTTTTCTGCCTTTTAGATTGAAGACACGATATGTCTTGCTATCTATGTAATAGCCCATAAAAATGCATTCCTCTGCCTTTGCTTCAAATTTTCTAATAGGTTGTCTGTCCTTCAAAACATGCCACTTGTAGCCGAAGGTGTGGAAGTAGTGAATGGTTGGCTTCCTTCCTTTCCAGATCTCATATGGAGTCGAATGTGTGAGTGGCCTTAAGTAAATCTGATTGATGATATAACAAATTGTATTCACAGCTTCGGCCCATAGTTTCTTTGAGACTAGTTTTGTATGCACCATGATCCTAACCATTTCTTGGAGTGTTTGATTCATTCTCTCCACCACAACATTTTGTTGTGGTGTCTTTGGCACCGAATACTCATGAAGAATCCCATTCTTGCTGCTGTAGACATTAAAAGATTGGTTCTCGAATTCCTTTCCATGATCACTCCTTATCCTTCCAACCATGAACTGATTTTCACTTAAAATTCGGCTGAACAACTCCTCAAATGCTTTGAAGGTATCACTCTTTTCTCTGAGAAATTTTACCAAAGTGAATCTGGAGAAGTCATTGACGAAAATGAGTATATACTTTTTTCCAGCAACACTCTCGACTTTGGTTGGCCCCATTAAGTCCAAATGTAAAAGTTTCAGGCATTTGTCTGTTGCATATCATTCAGTCAATCTGTGGACTACCTTGCTCTGCTTCCCTTTACAAAAATATACACAAAATAATATCTTTGCCTTAAACAATATGGGCAGATCCCGTACAGCTTCCAGCTTGCTCAATTGAATCAGATCATGCATGTTCACATCCCTAAGTCTCAAATGACATAAGGAAATCACATCTTTCTTGGTCGGCAAGGCAACTTCTGATCTTATTTTTAAGATATAGCAATTATGCTTAGACTGAGATCCAACCAACAATCAAAAATTTTCATCATAAACTTCACATGAGTCTTCGGTAAACTTCACCTTTAGACCTTCATCATAAAGCTGACTAATGCTTATGAGATTAGTGTTGAGATTTTCAACCAAGTACACCTTCGATAGGTTAGGTAACCATCTACCTTGAGAGTTTCGTAACCGGTAATTCTTTATTTCACTCCATCACCATAGACAACTTGTCCACAATCAACTTCTTGGAAATCACATAGAAGCTCTTTTTGATTTGTCATATGCCTCGAGCAGTCACTGTCGAAGTACCATGTCTTTTCTTCATTGATGCAAGTGGAGGATAATGCAACATAACATGCATTTGTAAACATCATTGGCTTTCATTCGAATATGATGTTTATCCACTTTTTCATCTCCTCCGAAGGCCAATAAATATTTTTTCCTCTGAATAGGTCATGAATGACTCGTCTACACTGATCACCCTTGTGTCCAACGATTACACAATACATACAATTCACAAGTTGTCTGTACGTCTTCCCAACTACCTCATGCATTTTGTTTCTTTGTCTTTGCCTATTGAGAATCTGTTGCAATGTTGTATTGATTGATTCTTCTGGTAAGCCACCTTTCACAAAAATAGTTTGATTGCTTCTAGTACCATGTTTGTATCCAAGCCCATGACGATCACCGAATGGTTTGCCAATGGAAAGAATCTCATCGAGCTTTTCTTTTCCTATCCTCACACGGGTATTTTCTATAAGAAGTTTTAAAATTTTTTATTCCAGATCAGCTATCTTTGCAAGATCATTCTTGAGAAGTTGATTTAGCTTGGAATTTCATCCGCAAATTCAACATGTTCTTTCCTGATTGTGATTTTCTTCGGTAAGGGCATTATTCCATGGATTTAGTTCATCAACATGATCCTTCAACCTTTCATTACTGGAGATCAGCACTTTATGTTCTTTCACCATTTCTTTGTATTTGTCAAAAATTTCGTCGTAGTCCATCTCTATAAGAGCATCAAAATCAAAGTTGGATATAATCTCTTTTTTGGCTTTCAAAGTGAAGGCTACCACCTATTCTTCATTACGATCAAAAGTTTGTGATACAGATTGATTATCATAATCTTCATCATCATTGAGAGTCACTTCTATAGCCTTAATTTATTTCCTCAAAGCCGTAGGGCATTCGGATTTTAGGTGTCCGAAGCCACTACATCCATAACATGTCACACTGTCTGAGGCGTTCAGATTTTGAGAGACTTGAAACTTTTTTTTTCTGCTCAGGCTTGAAGGCAATGGGTTTTCTCTGAATGTTTTTCTTTTGCTCATTTTGAGGTGGTCGTTTGTTGGTCGTTCAGATCTTCTGTTGATTACTGATCTGTCCGGTTTGCAGCTTCAGTTGCCTTGCCCTTTGTCGCTGTAATATTTTTAAAATTTGATTATAAGGAAATAAAATATTATCCTCATCCACTTCATCAACATCAATATCCTCAGCAGTAAAAGCAATTCATTTGTTTGGATTCAACTTCAAATGGTTCAACTCATAGTTTTGGAGAATCCCAATCAAAGCATCAAGTGACATTGTCTTGATTTCCTCCATTTCTTCAAGAGCAACTACCTTTGGTGCAAACCTCTTTATGATTGTCCTTTGAACCAAATAAACACTTGGCAGCTTGTCAACACAGTAGACTCTTCTAATTCTTCAGAATGTGATTTCAGCTTCAAATTTTCAGAAACTTCGACAGGGTTCATACCCAATTTAATAGATAAAAATCCTCCCATATTTTTCTACTCAAAACATGGACTAACCTCCCAAAAAAATCCCTCAAAATAAAAGAGAACACCTCCCTTCAACTAGAAGTGAAACTCAACTATTACACCATGGGATTTGGGCTTTCCTTTCGGTGAGGTTGAGTAGAACTCTTCAAGTTCTCACTCTCTACTTAAAACACTAAAGATATCAGATTTTCTCTCTTGGAAAATTATAAAAGCCCTACCAATATCATGGGTTGTGCTTATATAAATATACACAAACCCATTTTTTCCAATCAAAATGCGACAACACATGGACTCCAAATGGTCAAATATGTCAAGACACATCTCATGACCAATATATATGCATGCATATGGGATGAAATTGATATATCAAACTCCACATAAATTCCTAAAAAGAAGGGATAGTCAAATATTACCTCTTTTGATAATGGATGTTATAAACCTTTTTCTTCCTTTATTTTTTACTTTCCTTTTGCATGCAATTTTGTGGGATAAAACACTTTTGTCTTTGTATGAAGTAGGACAGAGATATATAAATTTTGTCTCACTTTGAAGCTTTTTTCAATGACCAGAACATCAGACCTTGAACCATGAGTTCGAGCAGGTTGCAGTCTTGCAAACATCTGATTGGTTGTCTGATCTATCTGTGGATCCAAAAGGGACTGAATGTCTCTTCCTTTTTTGTCATATCCTTTTTACTTTTCAAATCAATACTAGCACAATTTCTCTTGTACTTTTTTTCTCTGAAATACGCAGCATTTGAGTTGTCTTTTTTATCTTCCAAAAAGACTTTTCCCAACTCAAATATATGGCAAAATATTCCACTTTAGCAGCCAACATAGACAATTTAGCAACCACACATGCACCTGATTTGTCTGAATATTTTGCGGATCCCCGATACATCAAATTAAATTTTATACCAACAATTTTATTTTGATGTAAATTATATTTTTAACCATATGATTAACAATTAATTCAATGGATCCTAAAGGTTTGTAAATATATATCAATCTATTATATAAGGTATATAGTAGAAATAAGTATTTCTATTTAAATTTCATAATATCCTAGCGATTTTTAATGATAAAATAGTAACATATTAATTAATTACTTAACTATATAATAGGAATGTTTGACGAATAGATAAGCCCGCATTTAGTTTGTAACTAATTCACTGCACTACTATTAGTCAGCAATGCCGACAACTATTTAATTATATCTATATAACAGGTAAATTGATAAATGTATAATTCCATATTTACATTTTAAATTAATAAATAAAACTTTATCATTTAAAATATCGTATATTTTGTTTTTAACATTTGAGTCTGTCCATAGTTTTATAAAAATATAGTCCAAAGGCTCACTGATTTTCAGCGTACCCTCGCAGGAAGCCATGGCGACCGCTCTTCACCATTTCCAAATTACCGATCCAAACACGGCCTTACTGCTGATACTGTTCTTCTTCCTAACTATTCTATTCCTAATTAAGTTGCGGAAACGACACCGTTTTCCTCCGGGGCCCAAGGGTTTTCCGATCATCGGAAACATGGGGATGGTGAACAAGTTAACCCACCGCGGCCTGGCGGAGCTATCCAAGGTGTACGGCGGCTTGCTCTATCTGAAAATCGGAAACGTCCACTCGATAGCTGTGTCGACGGCGGAGATGGCGAAGGAGGTCCTCAAAGTTCAGGACATCGTCTTCTCCAACCGTCCAGCGACAATCGCTATACGCTACCTGACCTACGACCGGGCGGACATGGCGTTCGCCCACTACGGGCCGTTCTGGCGCCAGATGCGGAAGATCTGCGTCACCAAGGTCTTCAGCCGCAAGCGCGCCGAGTCGTGGGCGTCGGTGAGGGAAGAAATCCACGCGCTGATCAAATTCATCGATTCTAGGGTTTCCACTCCAATCAATTTGGGGGAAATCGTTCTCGGATTGACCAAGAACATTACTTACCGAGCCGCATTTGGATCCGTGTCGCGAGACGGCCAGGACGAGTTCCTCAAGATCATGCAGGAATTCTCGAAGCTGTTCGGAGCTTTCAACATCGCCGATTTCATCCCTTGGCTTGGATGGATTAACGGTCAAGCTGCCTTCCATCGCAGGCTGGAGAAGGCTCGCACTGCGCTCGATGGATTCATTGATAAAATAATCGACGATCATCTCCAGAAGAGGAAGAACAAGGCTTGCGGCGCGGAGGAGGAGGAGGAGGACGACATGGTGGATGAATTAATGGAGTTTTACAACGAAGAAGATGAAGATGAAGGTGAAGGCGAGGCGACTAAGAGTGAGTCAGTTTTAAGCATTACCAGAGACAATATTAAAGCCTTAATCATGGTAATTAACCAATATATATATATATAATATAAAATACTCAATATTATTTATTTATTTTTTAATATAGTAGTACTCGTATTATTTTTACAAGGACGTTATGTTCGGAGGAACCGAAACTGTGGCGTCAGCAATCGAATGGGCAATGGCGGAATTACTGAAAAGCCCTGACGATCTCAAAAGGGTTCAGCAAGAGCTGGCGTCCGTCGTCGGATTTGATCGGACGGTCCAGGAGTCGGATCTGGAGAAGCTCACGTACCTCCGGTGTGTCGTGAAGGAGACGCTCCGCCTCCACCCTCCGATCCCGCTGCTCCTCCACGAGACAGCCTCGGAAACCTCCATCAACGGCTACAGAATCCCCGCCGGCTCGCGCGTGATGATCAACGCCTGGGCGATAGGCCGGGAACCGGGAGCCTGGACCGACCCGAACGTGTTCCGACCGGCCAGGTTTCTCGAGGGTGGGCCGGACTTCCAGGGCAGAGACTTCGAGTTCATCCCGTTCGGGTCGGGTCGGAGGTCCTGCCCGGGGATGCAATTGGGGCTTTATGCGTTGGACCTGACAGTGGCCAATCTCTGCCATTGCTTCAATTGGGAGCTGCCGGAGGGGATGAAGGCGGAGGAGCTCGACATGAACGACGTCTTTGGGCTAACGGCGCCGAGAGCCGTCCAGCTTGTGGCGGTGCCGCGCCGCCGCCTCAGCTGCCCTATGTCTTCTTAACAGTTTATCATTATTAATTAGGGTTTAGTCTGTTTGCCGGAATTTATGATGTGGATTGGAATTATATTTTCTTTCAAGGTACGTCAACTATGAATCCTGAATCTAATGTTGAGACAATTAATTTGCAATTCAAATGTTAGGTTTGTTTGAATATGCATGTTTGGATTTCAAAATGAATTTTAAATGTATGACTTTAAGGGTGTGTTAACTATTTTCGTTTTGGATTTTGATTTTGAATAGCAAAATTTTGAACATAAATAGTTGTTTGATTTGATGTAAATATGTATAGATGTGATGTTTTGAATATAAAATTTAATTTTATTGTAATATAATAAATAAAAAATAGGTGAAAAAAAAATTGGAATAGGAAAATCAAAAATCAAATCTCACAAGTAAATTATAAAATCAAAAAAATATTTTGGGATGCAAACGAAGAATTTTATAAAATCGAGAGCGGATACGGAAAACGTGTTTGACAGCGGTTGGCGCGGCCAGAGAAGTTGTTGTCGGCGGTCTTCAACTGCGGATGTGTAAATAAAAGGGAAATCAAGGGCGAAAACGAGTGCCGGTGGCGCGGCCAGAGATGTCGCGGCGGCTGATGTCAACTGCGGAGGTGTTAATACAAGGGGAATCGAGGGCGAAGGCGGCTACCGTGTTTGAGGGCAGCGGGCACGGCTAGAGATGTCGTTGTCAGTGGTCGCAGAATGCATGATCTATGGAGGCAGGGCGATGGGAGGAAGATGGAGTCTCTGTGTGGTAAAATTAGAATTGGTAAATATATTGGAGGTGAGGAATGTGAAAAAATTATATAATTAATTGTTATTTTATTTATAACAATAGTTCGCAGATTAAAAATATACATCATAATGTATTTATGAAAATATCATTCTAGTAAATTATATATGAGGTGTATTTCGTAACAAAACATCATAATAGCTTTGTAAAGACATCATCTGTGATAACCTTATACATTAATATTTTTGAATGTGTACGATTTAAGAAAGTAATTATTTGAAAACTTTTTTATTTTTAATTAGGATCATTTCTACTATTATTAATTAGGTGTGACTTTTAGTAGTTGAGATAATTAATTTTTTTTATCAAAGATTATTAAATTATTTTTTAAAAAACCTAAAACAACTTCGATTAAAATTAACTGTTGAATTAACAATTAAATTGATCGAAATAAATTCAAGATCCTCTTGAATTATATATAACATTAGGATACTATTATTCTTTATTGTTATATTTTATTTGTAATTTACTTTTTAGTTTACTATGGTATATAATATTTTATATTCTTTCACTGTATTATTGTTAAATTAACAAATTGAAATTAGTTATATTATTTTATTGTTAGTGTTGATTTATATTTTAATATATTATAATACATTATTTTAAAACAAATTTTTACTTTGGTTTGATAGAAATAATTTTTCGACTTAAATTCCTACTGATATTTTTACAAAAGTAAATAATAATTGAACTAACAAATTAGGCATATATATATATATATATTTTTAAAAAAAAAAAAAATTTATGTTTTTTTCTCTTTTTCTTTTTATTTTTTAGTTAATAAAAGAAGTTAGTTTATAAAAATGAAAATAAAAAAATAATAATTGTGTTGATAGGTTAAATTATATATTTTCAGTTAATTTGATTTTCTTAAGAATTTTATAGTCGTAACGTTGAATCTTTATGTATTATCTTTAAGAAGTTTAAATTGGTACTCATTTTAATTTTTATTATTAAATTTATTGAATGATACATTACTCTTCGATAGACAATTTTTATTTCCACTGCATATGAATATTAATAGAAGAAGAGCATGGACGTATTCTATAGTAGTGGAAGAGCATAATAGATTGTCCTCAAAATTCGAAGCAGATGTAGTTAAGTTTGTAGCATGGGGCACAAACTGATAAATAAAAATACAGAAATCCTGATGAAGTCATGGTACACCTATACAGAGGAAGGTTTACTGCTAACTATCAAACATAATTATTTCATGGAGAGATGCTGACATTTACGACCAACTACGACGTCGGGGTTGGACCAAGCTACAATCAACACAAACAACGATTCAATTATGCAATTTCCTCCACACTACTTATGGTTGACAACCATGAGGATATAAATCACAGTGGATTATAAGGTAGTTTGGTAAAGACAATACTGAACCTTTTTTTTTTGCAATTTGGTAGTTTGTCCCGTATCATGATATTTTATTATTATATGTCCCGTATCATAATGTTTTTTCTGGAATATTACTAGTGCTTGGTGACATAAATTTGTTATGATGCTAAGTGGGTTGGAAGTTAGCAAATTCTATCCATGAAAGACCAACTTTATATGCAAATATGTTGATTGTGCAACACTTGTGTGTATTCTCCTTTTCTGTGGCTACACTTCATGCACACAATCACATGGGTTTATGGAAATAAATTTGAATTTTTTTAATTGTTTTAATACATTGTGGGATGTTGTTTGAAAAATGATTGAAGGTAAATTTTCAAAGAATTCAAACATTACAACTGGAGTCGATACCCATGACTACTCCACTTCAATTGTTGGTATAAGCATATTATTTACTTGTTTCTACTTTTCTTAACCTAATTCCATAGCACAACTATGCTTCTACTTCATTCATAGATGATTATCACTATTGTTTGCAGGTTGTTGGTCAATTCAATCTAGGATTCATTGTTGGCAAGTTAGATGATAACTATTTCACATGCAGTGGATCAGGTGATCTTCTACCTTTTTACTTAACAGTCGCCTAAGAATAAGCACAATTAAAGGATGATTAGTTTATTGTCATGGATAATTAAGGCATATTGTTCCAACATTTTGGTAATGTATGTGAAAATTCCCTTCTTCTGTCAACAATCGTAGCTGTCTAATTGTTATGCTTTTGGAGCAGCATGCAACATATGAGAAATACAATTACGAACGCCTTTCACAATCGACCATTCTAATTAGCAACCATTACTTAGGGGAGGCATTCGACTTATTAGCTCCTTAGCAGTGATATGAGATCCAAATAACCCCTAACTTCAGCAATATTTGTATACTCCCTATGGCCTCTGATGTGTTAGAGTGTTGTTTTATTTGTTTTTTCAAGTTCGTCTTTTCACTTAAGTTTTTACAGCTGATTGATATTACTTGGTTGTGTTGGTAGATATCTCGAAAAATGATGTTGGCAATGATGTTGACAATATATGCATGGTAGTGTTGCAAAAGTTTCACTGTATGCTTAAGATTCCTTGAAAATCTATGCAGTTGTTTGTGCAAATTATGTTGTGTGACTGTGATGATGTGTAATAGTACGATTGACTGTTATTTTCTTCTTAGGAGGTGCATCTATAAAAAAATGCCATTGATAAGTCTTCTTTGTTTAGTTATTTACTTAGAATCCTAAGAAGGGCTTTATTTGCGATGAGGGTTGTCATGGTTGAAGTTGAAAATACCCATGCCGAATTTTTTGCTTGGATGAACTCTTTCGTTGAAGCACCAGTACGATGTTTATGTTTTGGTTTTGTATATTGCTATATATTTATCGTATGATATGGTCAGTATGACAAGTTGATGTATATTTTTCTGTTGTAATACAAAGTTCCTTGGTCGTTTATTTTCGTCTATCAGTTACAAATTTGCAATTCACATGTATTCATAAATTTGTTTACAATCTGTTTATAAATGTCAGAATATGTCTATTACTTTCGTAACTCGTACAGGTTATTCTTATTTATACAGGTAATACCCTAGCTATTGTCAAAATATTTATCACAGATGTTTCGGTTGAGACCCCAGTTATACTCCCAACAAATTCCGAAGCAAAGATCCTTGGTGAAATACTCGACGGAGATAACATTGAGGGGACATACAATTAGTACTTATTTTTTTATTAGTTTTATTCTTTTGAGAACTAAATGATTTCAAATGTAGTAATGAATTCTTATATATCTTGACTTCTCATTGCAGTTGGTTTGCAGCCCTTGACTTTTTGCTTCTGTGATTATGTAATTGACGAGCTTGGTCATCCGAAGTAGTCGTTCTTAGATAATTTAAACGATTTTACATTTTGTTGGTGTTGGATTGATGGGTATTATATTTTAATTTGAGGATTGTATATTAGTTAGCTGTTATGATGGTCTAGGGCACAATCATAGTTGAGGATGTTTTAAAGTACTATTGACGGTTATATTTCTACATTTGGCATGTCCATGAACTTTGTTGGTTTGACATCATTTTGTAGAATTTGTTAAGGATTTCAGATTATATATGATAATATTATGCTTTTAGATATTTGTAATATTGTTGGGTCCGAAACAAATACGAAGTCAAGTGCATTTATTTTGTGGCAATAAAAAGTAAATTTGACGGCAGATATGCCTTTTATACTATATTTTTTTTACGTATATTTTTTGGAACAAAAGAAGTCTTACGGTCACATGACTTTGTATGAATTTTTTGTTACGGACAATTTTGGAACAAATAGTCTTTCAACAAAAAGTCTGCTTTTGTACCACTTTTTTTGTTACGGACACGTTCGGCTACAAATATTTTTCGACACGATGCCACTTTTGTACCGATTTTTTTGCTAAGGACATATGTTGTAACAAATTGTTATCTGTAGGTTTCACTTTTTGTTCCCTGCTTTTTACTACAGACATTTGTCCACGTAAAAACATTATTGAGGCTTTTGTTACATACAAAAAACCTTAACAAATGCAATAACCACGTGCTTCTTTATAGCGTTGACGAACATTTTTTTGTTACAGATTTTATCGTAACAAAGACTTTTTGTTTCACAATTTTTTGTTGCAGCAAAAATTCATAACAAAGTCACATTAAGGGGGTGTATTCAATTGGGATTTTAATGAATTTTTTTGGATTAAAAAATCCACATAGTCTACGTTGAGTTTGATGGATTTTAATAATTGATTTAAATGGATTTCTACAGATTTGATTGAATTCTTTATGGATTTATATGGATTTTGTAGGATTTTAAAATAATTATTTTGTAAATATATATTAATTATATAAATTTATATCAAACAACAAATTTTATAATTATAATAAATAATTATTAATAAGATAATATTTAATATTAATAAATAATATATAAGTATTAATAAATAATATATATATTTACTTTTTATGTAAAATGGTTATATTAAAATAAATAAATAAATAAATAATTTATGAGTTTTGAAAAAAATATTAAAATAAATAAATAAATATAAATTAACGGTTCAACAAAAAATATATATTAAATATTTATTTCACCATTATCGTAATAATAATATATTGTATTAAATAATTGAAAAGAAAAGACGACAGTAATATAATAATATTTTTTAAAATTATATTTATAATATAAAAGTATATATTTTTAAAAAAATCATAATAATTTGCTAATATAATTTAATTTTAAATTATTATTTTTATTAAAAATTATAATAATAGTAATAAATATTATCATATTATTGATCATATATACAATAATAATAATAATAATAATTTTAAGAATTCATCAAAATCTAACAGATTTTTTTCTATACAAAATTTTCACAAAAATCCATTAGAATCCATTAAAAACCATAGACTTTCAAAATTTGTTGAATATCTCAATATTTGAAAAGACTTTCTATATTGAATACCTGACAATTTAATTTTAAAAGATTTTTAAAAATTTGGATTGAATACTTCTAAATTTTAAAAGACTTGATTGAATATACCCAAATTTTAAAAATCCAACAAAATCCTACAAAATTTATATTGAATACACCCCTCCTAGATGTCTTTTTGCATGAAAATTGAGTTTTTGTTATAAATTTTTTCGGCTACAGTCAATTTTTTCTTTTTTTTTTTTATAAGTCTGATGTGATATTGTTGGACCACAGGCCTAATTCTTTCGCCAGATGAGGCTGGAATGCCGTATGTAATAGAAGCCTCTGCCCACTCGACCCTCGCAATACACCGAGCCTCATGACAACAGGCCCCAACATAAGCAAGGAGGCGTCCAAGACACTCAAATAAGGTCAACTAACGCTCAACAAGGAAAGTAAAAACCGGATGACGTGGGGTAGGCCTGCGTGTGAACATGGAAGGGAATGAAAAAATAACTACTTCCTGGAAATTAGAAAATGGATAGAAACCTAATTTCTAGGAAATATATCAACCAGGAAAACACAGATTACACATATCAATATCATCACATCATTTATCCGTCGGGTTGTCACTTTGATCCATTTATGTTAATTTCCAGCCTGTTTGCATTAGTTTATTGACCACTCATGTATATTTCAGAATTATTTCATTCCTATGTTGGTTTTATAATCATCAAAATTTGAAGTTCCTTAGAGGCTTTATCGAGAAAGTATTTCCAATTCGACGACAAACAAACTTTGTGGAGTAGTGTTGGGACCTTCTTCGTTTGTTTCTGAGCACATTATTAGTGAGAATTTGGAGCCTTGTGGAAAATTTAATTCCAAGTCCAATAATTGACACGCCTAATGGGATGAAAGTTGGAGTTTTATGAGATTACGGGGTGGTAGGATACTCCCAATGTCTGGACAAAATGAAGAAGTGTGAAAGCAGGTGCTGGGTATTGGAACAGAAAAAATTGGGTTTTCTGGTTCGTGAAGAAAAGAGAAAATACTGGTGGTAGAAATGATTCACAATAAACTGAACCAATGTTTTCAATTTGGAATTGGCAACATCGTTGATGAGGACCAAATTGTGATATGATATGACAAAGTTATGACTTTTGGCAAGATTAGGGGTTTTTGATCGATTAAAATTGGAATTGGAACTTGGCTTATGACAAATGATGGGATATAGATTTAATGAAAAATAAATTGTCGTAGACCCTAAAATGTTATATCATAATTAATATTATACTCTTAAAGAAAATACTTACTAAGTCTGGCTGATTCGGCAAAACAGTAATTTGGCTCGCTGGCGAGCAAGCTGAAAGCCGTAAAAGATAGAAATGTATGGAAAGTAGTAAAAGTGAACAGGCAGCGGTCGTGAGCGGGATGATGGCTTGCGAGTGATAGGTATTGTGAAGGCGCTGGTGAGCACAGCGGTAGGGATGACAAGTGAGCAAATTAATAGTGATAATGGATATGTGAGCGGTAGTAAATCAGAGGAAGAAATGTACATGTGTTCTCTGTGTTACCTAATGGGTAGATTCTCATGGATGAAATGAGCGGATCATAAAAGTGAATTAGGAGAAGATATATGTATATTATGAAATGACAAAAGAAATGCATGCGATCGTACTTGTTTATTTAAATCAGATTTTTTACTTACTGATATTTTATCTTAAGAGATTTATAATAAGACTTCAATGACAGAATATTATAAGTAAGAAAAGCTACTGTCACTACGTATTTCTAAAACCCGATAGACAAGCGCCTATGTCCAATTTATCATTCTAAAATTTGTTTAATTAGTGGTTTTACCTTCTGATGTCTCTCTTTAATCAAAATTGAATTCAGAGTAGTAATTAAGCATTGATAAGGCTCCCGCATACTTAACTATCATGAACTAACAAAAATCTGTTAATGAATACGACGAGAAATTAGACTTTGACAATCAATTATTCTAAAGAACTTTCCACACCATGACAAGATTCCAAACTTAAACAATCAAATATAAATATGGAATGGGGATGAAATTGCAAATGGAGAATTCATGATATTCGATTAATAACTAAAAGAAAACAGTGAATCTACATTATGAAAATAGTAAATGAAATCAGTAACAAAACAATAAATCTGCCCACAAAAGCGACTAAACTTAGCGGTCAGGGGGAGAGAATCTCCACTCCCTCGACCTTCACTACCAAAAAATACTCATTTGTACCGGAATTTTATCTACTACACTTTTTTTGTTAAAAAACTATTTTTTATTTCAGATATTTTCGTAACAAATAGTTTTTTGAGTTTGATCCACCTTTTTACTTTTATTACAGTATTTTTTTTCTTTTACGACTACAATAATTTTAATTTTAACTTTCAAACTAAATCTAAAATAATCTAAAATAATATTTATATATTAATAAATACAAACTGAAATTGAAATAATTATTTATTTAAAATAAAAATTATTATATACAATTAAAAACTAAAATTAAAAAATTGTGAAACAAACCCTAGACGTCCGCCCCATCTAGTACTTCTTCCTTTGTTTCATCTTATTTGTTCTTCTTCTTATTTGTTCTTTTTTCTTCTTTCTTTTTTTTCTTTTCTTCTTCTCCTTCCCGTTTGTCCTCCTTCACATTCTTTTAAAATTTTCCCGTATTTTGATTTATATAATATTTTATCTTATTTCCCCATTTCATTATCTCCCTTATGAGCTTCTCCCAATTCTTTTGTCCCTCCGCCATTTCAGTAAGCCTTAGCTACCTCCGCTTTCAATTTTCTTCCATTTGCCATCTTCATCTCCTATTTTCGAGAAAAAACAAAGATTCAGCTCCGATTCATTTTCAATTTTGTTTACCCCCAATACCTTCACCATAACCTTTTTTCTACCATCGACGATGATGAAATCGATAGTACCACCCGCCCCACTTCCAACCGCTTCCGAATCCATCATCATTCGTCTTGTCTATAGATGGTAAACATCGAAGAAAGGTTGTTTCATTGCCTATTTTTCATAAGAAAATTCCAATTTCAAACATAATATTAATACTAGAAATTTGCAAGGCTGCTTTGGATTGAAGTACCTTCTTTAATTATATTAATTATTCTCCTACTGATATTTATTTTAGAATTATAGTTGTGATTATGATTAAATTATGTTGGAGTTTGGATTTAGATTGGAATTAGTTGTCGAATTTATATGCATAGTTGGTATATGATAATTTTTAATTGGTGAATTGCGAAGTTTGTCCAGAAGATTTGAATAGGATGAATTGAGAACTCATTTATTATGTTGGTTTTAGGATTAGTCGATAATTGAAGTTGCATATGAACAGCCTGGAAGGGCTGGTTGTTGGATGTATTTTAGAAATTCACTCGATTTTGAGAATTGATAATTGAGGTTAGAAGTGTTTTTACGAAAAAGTAAAATATCTTAGTTCAAGGATTGCTCATTTGAACTTTATTGTGTGCTTCCAATTTCCGAAATCAAGGAAAGTCATGTTGCTTTGAATCTATACGTTAGAGAAAGATATATTGCAATAGATAACATTTGTTGTTTGAATGTAGGGCATTCGATGAAATTTTGCATACAGGCTCCTGCTTTGGGGATAATTTGAACATTTTCAGATTTTTTTTTAAAGAAGATTCAACACTTATTTTGCAATAAGTGTGAGGAGGAGGATGCCTTAAGAATTTCCGAGCCTCGAAGATGTCGAAAAAGACCCCTCCCAAGCATAATCAATGTTGTCCGAGGATGAACAATTCTACAAGTGTCAAGAGAGAAGTTTAATTGGCACCATAAAAAATGTAAAATATATATATATATATATGCAGCTGCAACAATAAAATCAGGAAGTATTTCTTTATTTCCTTCTCAATTATTTATGACGGCCTATTTATTATTTCGTAGAATATGTGTTACTTAGAAAATTAGTTTAGGTGTAATCTATTTAGGTGTAGTGTAAGTTAGCATAATTGACTTAGATCCATAATCTGTTTATACATAGGTTGTTGTTATTAACATTTAGAACATAATTGGATTTTTTTGTAGAATATTTAGTTGTTGTACTTCTTAGTATTAGATTGTTCTCTCTTAGTCTAACAATTAACATAGCATTAATTCAATCTGTTGTGCATATAATTATTTGATTGGAAGTGCTTGAGTGTAGCTGTCTTAGCTTATTAGATTCAATCGTGTTTGAATTTGTAATTAGTTGCAGCTTAGGTCTTGTAGTGTAGAATATATTTGTGATGCTCAGTTACTTGCATATTTGTATAATCATGTATATTTAGTTGTTAAAGTTAGTCTCTGGTGTTGTTGAATCCATTATTTTAGGTTAGCTACTGTAATCAAACTTGATTTAGATCGAATTTGGCCAACTCTAGTTTTGATAGATAGATGTAGGATTAGTGTTAATAGATATCTTCATTAGTTAGATCAACATGATTCTATATTAGCTACTCCTGCATTCATTAGTCCTAGACAACCTTAGATTGAATTGACATTATTGCCGTGTACAACCTTAGATTGAATTGACATTATTGCCGTGTATTACAGTAGTATAAGAATGTCATTTGGTTAGTTTAGTAGTAGTAGTAATACAGATTTGCATTCCCACATTCGAGTTTCTGCAAATATTAGTTATTTAATTTTGTTGCTTCTTGTTTGGTTTGCATTGTGCTAGGTTTTTATTTTGTAGTTAACTTTTTTTAGATAGCTTTTTAGGTTATTATCTAATTTAATTGGATTTTCTTAGCATTGATTATTGTCGTAGTAAAGTTTATGTAGTTTTATTCTTTTGATTATGCTGCTTGTTTAGCCTAGCTACCATAGATGCTAATTAGGTTGGATCAGTTTCTTAGTGTAGAAAGAAGTTTGCTTAATTTTACTAATTAATTATGTTACCAGTTAACTATTTATTTAATTACTTAAGTTTTTCGTAATCTTGTATGTTTTCTGCTAATTTTTTTTTTTAAGGGCGTATTTGGCAATTAGCTGATAGCTATCAACTGATTCAATTAGCTGATAGTTGTTAGCTGATTCAATTAGTTGGTTTGACTAGCTGATTCGATTAGCTGTTTGTATTAAAATGTTTGGTAAAACAACTGTTTGATATTAGCTGTTTATACGTAAAATGACAATTGAGGACATTTCTATTTTATTTTTGTTTCTAATATATTTAATTATGTTTTTTTGAGTTTAGAATGTTTAAAATTTGTTGTTATTAGTTATTGAAAATAAAAGTATTATAAAAGTATTTATTTTTATTACAGTTAGATTTAAAAAATAATATATTTTTATTAAAATATATAAATAGTTTTTCTATTGAAAATGTTGTAAAATATAAAATAATAAATTTTTCGTGTATATATTTATTATGTTAGTTATCGATTAGTTCATTATATTTATAATTTTTAATAAAATTAATTAATTAAATTTATTTTTAGTATAAAATTTATATAATGTAATTTTAATATAAAAAAAATTATTAATATTTATATTTTCTATTTTATGTTGATTTTAATAAATTTATATATTTTACAATTAAAATAATTTTTATATAAAAATTAATTATTTTAAATTTATAAAAGTAAAACTATAATATAATAAAATATTCTAATATAATTAATAAATAATCAAAATATATTTATTTGTGTAAAATGCATAATAAATTTTTATGGGCATATAAGGAATAAAAAAATTTTTACAGAAAAAGCTATTTGAAAACGCTGGGTAAGTTAGCTTTTCAGAAATTAGTTTTTTGGATCCAAAAAATTATTTCTAAAAGCTAATTTATCAAACACCTAAATTAGTTTTTTGACCGGTCAAACAGCTAAAAGTTATTCAATAAGCTAAAAGCTCTTAAAAAAGCTATCTGCGAGACACCCCCTAAATCTAGTTATGTGTTTGATTTTTGTTATTCATTTAAATAATGCAGCTTGCTTGCCTACCTACTTTCTTAATTAATTATTTATATAGTTAATTAGTTACCTTAGTTTAATTTTTATTAGTATAGTAGTAATAATTTTATATAGGCCCATAGTAATTTTTCTTTTCGTATCACTTAACCGCAATAAATAATATGTGCTAATTAATTTATATGGGGTTAATTTATTTTGGCCTAAATTATTCATATTTATTTTATGTAAATTATGTTGGTTAAATTATCTTTTGTAATTTATGTTGAGCTAAATAATTTTATATTATTATATTTATAATATTTAATTATATATTTAAAATAAGGTTACCTATGATCTTTTGATCTCTCATGGGTTGAAAGAATGTGTTGTCAGTAAGGGGTGTTGTTGTCCGATCCTACCACAGCTTTGTGGTCATCTTGGTGATGTTCTCTATGTAAAATTGATTTTGGTTCCAACCATTTTGAGACAAGCATGTTCTATGCCTGTTAGTGAGTAGAGTTATACATAATGCGGTGACAATGGTATTTATGTGGAACTGTGATTGGATGGATGTTTGTTGAGTATGGTCTTGGGTAGCATATACATTTATAGTTTAAAGATTATTGTAGTTGTTGATTGGTGAATTGATATTATTATGAAACCATTTTGCTTAATGTTTCAATTCAAAGTATTTGGTGTTTGAATACATTTACACTCAATTCATTGTTGTTTTTAAATCCATACATGTTTAAGTTGGTTGTGAAAACAAACAACTTTAACATATATCAAATAAATTGATTATACTGTTGGTTGTTTTATAATTGTGATAGTGTATGGATGTTGGTCCAAGTTTCATCAAGATAGGGTTTATGCTATAATTATATTTATGTTGTTCTATATTTTACAATTTTGATTATACTGTTGTATGAATGGTTGGATTCGGCGAATCATCTCCGACTTTTTTCCTTACATATGTTGCAATGTTTCAGTTAATATCTTTAATATTTTATATTGACTAAATATTTTTGAGTTACATTTTGTTTCCGATGATATGCACATGTTTCTTTATATGTACGTAGGTGATACCATTGACATAGTGAAGGTTTTTGTCACTGCCGTTCCGGAGGCCGCGCTCATTCTACGAACGGCATCTTGAGCGCAAACACTCCGTGAGGTTGTCCACGTCGAGCCAATAAAATGGACATTCAAGGATGTACATAACCATTTTTGAAAGACTTTCTATTATATTATAACTTAACCATCTCGCAAGTTAATTCTTTTATAATTCTGCACTATTTCGGCAACTTGTTCGTCTCCCATAATTGCCGTGTATGTTCACTTTGATGTTGCATGGGACGATAGCGTTGCACATAATTCTATGATGATTTGCTTTCCTTTGTGGATTGATATTGATTGAGTCATTTCCGTTGGTTGAACTTGCATATTCTGTTTTCTTTTGTGTGTTTGTTGCTATGTTTTGCCCTTGGATTGTATATGTCTAGCCATACGCAAAATAGTTATATTCCTACACAGTGTGTACTTGGTGCAACTAATTGTGATACATATTTGTTGTAATATTTTTATATTTTGTAATGTAATTTCGCAATATTTTCTCGCATCATACAAATTTTTTGGTTTTTTGTTATTACTGAGAAAATAAGAATACTTTTGTTGTTGCAAAATTATGAACATTAAAAATACCGTTACAAAAAAATATGAATGTCTTTTAAAATAATTTTCTGACAACCAGTTTATTGCAACAAAAATTTTACCGTAACAAACGCTGTTACAAATGCATGAATATTTATTGTAACGATTCTTTTATTACAAAAAACATCCGCTATAAATAAATCAAAAAAACATTGTTACCATTACAAAAATTGCTACAACAAGATTTTTCACGTGTGTTGACCCACTCACTTTTTGTTACAAAAAATGTCGGTACATAGACTTTTTGTAACTCGAGTATATGCACCGGTCAAAATCTGATAGAACCTCGTTACAAATACCTCATTATAACAAAAAACGGTCCATTTGTAGCGATTTTAAAGCCGCTACAAATGTTCATTTTTTTTGTAGTGCTTATCTAACTAAGAGAACTTTCTTATATGATTTGAGCTCTCGGAAATTGAACATACTATAAGCAGTAAAATCACTTGAATGTAATGTAATTTACAAAAGAAATTAGTCCTATTTATACACTTTCTAGATTGGAAGTTTGCAGCAGTTGAGCGGTTGTAGAGCAGCAGTTGGAAACAGTTGAAAGACTATTACAACTGCTGGGTAATTAGAAAGTTGGGCGGTTGATTGGTTAACCCTGCTCAAATAGAAAATTACTTGCCTTCGTAGTTATACCATAAACTTGTTTTTGTTTAAAAATTATGGCAGTCTGAAACGATGTTATAGCCATTGATAACTTTTTCAGATCGTATACTTTATTTGTTTTTGTCAACATTCTGTTTGCAACCACAAACTATCGGCTTCAAATATTTTTATTAGGATATTTTGATAATTTGAAGTCATTGGGTGATTACGATTGGGAGACTCCATGCCATCAGTACCTACTGAAATTCACCCGGGACATCAAATCTGGGAAGACTTACTTGATTGGATGCACCATGGATTTATTAGTATGCATTTAATTTATGCATTAAGGTGAGAAAAAATTGAGATAGTCTACGCTTATTGAAATCATTGGTTTTCTTCATTGCACGTCTGGATTAACGAGCGTACTTTGGCACTCGACAAAGAGAGAGGACTACCTACAATGCCCCGTTGCTTTAGATGGCTTCGTAGTAGGCTTGTATGCATATAAGCTGAGAACTATGCTTTAGAAGATATAGACTGTTACCCACTAGGCGGCTGGGTAGCCGAATTCGATGACATCAAGGCTTATAGGGCAAATATTGTTGCAAGAAATTTTAGTAGGGCGCCTAGTTCAATTTGAATGATTGAGGTGTAATTTGTTACAATTGGATTGAAGAATAACTAAGATTTGTGGCCAAATAGGGGTACTTATCCGTTTATGTTATATTTTGACATAAACTTTACTGATCATCGACTATTTCAAACTAACATATGATATTTTAAGAGGTTGTCTAAATATGTACTTGCATTATGGTCATGTATATGTTTGTATACATGATAGGTTGACAAGATTTCATGATTAAGTATCAACAAGCCCTAGGCCGTTACTACATACTCCCAATGATAATATTAATAGTTTTATTTCACTCATTTATATACCTTTGTATATAATTTGGACACTTATGTCATGTGCACAGATGTACTAAAAGAGAACAAATACTCATAGAAGTAAATAATATACTTTGGTTAGCAATATTCTATAATGGGGTATCGACAAACCCCTAGCCTGAGACCACATACCCCTAATGATGGTATTTGTACTTTTATTTCAAAAATTTATATACCTCTAAACTAATTGAATCCATTTGTATAAAGAATATGATATCTAAGTAATTTTAAATGTAATCAAAAAATAGTGAAAAGACGTGTACTCACTAAATTATTCTGAAAGCACCAGTGAACCAGTAACATATACTCATCAATGACTAATATGTTCCCTACAGTGTGGGAAAATCCAATATGTCTCATGACTAATACTTGTTATCCCTTTTACCTCATTTACTCTTGCTAGATGTTACATCTCACTTTCAGAAAATTTTGGACAAACAATTACAATACAAAGAACATGTTAGGTCATCATTTATGCACTGACTTTAATATATCTATTACTTTTGGTCACCTCAATATATGTTATTTTATATCTATCGTAATTGACGTTCTTATCCACCCTTGAATGTGTTGATAGGTTCTTTCATATGTCATTTCGGGAGCATCCTCTGTTGCAAACTCGTTGTCTAGAAAGTGGATATAATGTTATCAACTCGTATTTGTTTGATCCAACAAAACTCATTGACAAATTCTACTGATATTACTTGAATATTCGTGTTCACATTAATAATACTTGCACATGATTGTAAATACTTCCATACATAAACACGCACCATCTTACTCGGATATGTATACACCTGATATTAATGAATATACTCTCTGAATGTCACAATACTTGTATTTTCATTGCTGAAACTCCTTCAAAAATATTAAATACCTTCATAAATAAATTTAGTTTATATTAATATAATTTCAGATAAATGATAGGGGTACACTATGGGCCGCGTTATACCGTAATGAGTACTTAGGGGACGTAAAAGACCTAAAGTATTACGTAGAATTTAATAAGAAAATTCCTATGTAATATATTTTCGTTGTTAATAATTATTATTCTTGATCATATTTAATATAATTAAAATAACATGTAATGTACTTTCGTTATAAATTTATGTACCCTTCTTTTTTACTTTGGAAGAATTATTTTGGACTAATATGTACCTTGGAAAAATAGTTGTGTACATCTAGTAATATGCAGGAGACATCATCAAATTTTCAAATCATTCAATAGTGATCTCATACATAAATTACGTTCAATGTACAATATTTCATAAACAAAAGAAATTTTCAACCATAAGAAACATGCAAGAAATACCTACGATAAAATCTCCTTGCAATTTCTTCGGTTGTGTCATGACGACCAAAACAATCATATTTTTTTAGTATGTTTCATCTGCTGTGATTCAAATCACATTTTGCTTTGTCCGGCCCGGTTAGAAAAATGATGTGTGAAAAATTATCTTTGTCTCCAGGTTGTTACGCCACATCCATATCATGGGTTGGCACCAGGTTAATTGATTCATTATAGACATCATATGTTGCCGGATAGAATCAAGCATCCAAAGAAAATGTAATGACCTTGTTGAGCTCACCCAACTATTCAATGATTCAGCTATATTGTTATTTATTATCCTCCAACGAGTCTCTTAGAGTAGATAATTCGTCCGACGCTAGTACTGTAATTATGCAATGAAACTTCGGGCAAGTGACATGGCCTCCACAAGATACGTTATATGCTGTTCAAAATTCTTCTATAGAGGGGCATAATCAGCTTTGTTGAAAATGGATGTCCATCATTTCTTGTTGTGCATCGGATATCTCTGCACTACCTATATGAAATATAATTACCTTTTTGTACATATCATACTAAATAAATGTATTATTTATACATAACTGAGTGCAAAAGTTGCTCATTAGGTATCGAAGACAATATGCATGATGGACTCCGAAAATTATGGCAGGAATAAACTTTAGAAGTTCTGAGTGTCTATCCAAAAATATATGCATTCTTTCCAATTATCGACCATCAATGTGAATAACAAACCTTACCTCCAGAAAAATTATTTCCAATTTTTATTATTTTCGGCAGACACCGCTGCATAGCTACAAGATATTAACATTATCTAATACAAACACATAAAATAAACACCAAAGTTCATAATGAGTAATCGTAGTATATACCAACAAAATCAAAGTATTTTAAACAAATGCGTCATAAAATAGCAAAAATCATATATATATGATTAATAAATATAGGTATATTACATTATAAAAATGTATCCGTGAAAATACCCACGCATACTAGCAGAAAATCGCAACAGCTCCAACAAAGATTTTTTCCAATACATACTGTCATAACGAAAGGTCATTCACAATTAGAAACTGTTGCAATCATAATCTCAAATAGGACAACAATTACCGAAGCAATAGTGAAATACTTATCGAAATCGATCGTGAATCCTAACAGCACTATCGCAATCAACCAACAAAATCATCACACCAAAAGAACATCGCAAGATGAGTAATTGAACATTCACCTTACCCATTTCTCCATTGCGTGAAATAAACCTAAAATTTGGAATTTGGATTCGGAATCCATTACAAATTCACCATCGAGCGTAGACTCCCATTCGCGAACGAAACCTAATGATGTAGACAATCTTTTTCCTTTGCGTGAATGAAATCAAATGTTGGGCACAATCTCTTTTTTTCGCGTGAAAAAATACCTAACAAATAGAAAAAGAATTAAAAATTGATAAGTTAAATTTTTGGAATAAGATGAAGGTAAAATTGGAAATAAGAAGGGGGTGGAGAGTTAATAGTAAGAAGTTTTTAAAATGAGGGAGTGCAGATTCCACTAATGAAATAGAAGTGACTATTTTATAACAATTGTCCGTAGTTAACAATTAGTTATGATAAGGAGGGTTAAGTTTTAATTAATAAAATAAATTTATATATTATATTTATTTAATATTTATCTTGTAAGTTATTTTAAATAAATAAATTTTATGTTAAAATGATTATTTTGTTATTAAATAATTTAATTTTCTTACATATAATTTAATTTTTATTTATATTTTATTTACATGATATAAATATATATATGTTTATTTTAAAACAAATTTTGTTACACTATCTATTATTCTTATATCAAAATTATGTGTTATTAATAAATTAATGCAAAATTTTATTAAATACTTTTAACTCTATTTTGCATAACTATATTACATTTTTCTTAATTTGCGGTGGTTGTAATTTATCTCCAATCATACCTTTTTTTTTTTTTTTCTTTTTTTTTTTTTTTTTTTTTGTCTTACAGTAACTTATCTTCAATAATACACTCTTTTTTTACAACTTAAATAACATATCTCCAATCATACATTCTATTTTGCAAATTAAAGAATATTTTATCTATATTATATACTCACTCCGTCCCACATACCATGTCCATGTTGCCGTTTATGTCCGTCCCACATTACATGTTACTTTCCTTTTTTGAAAAATGATTACACACTTTAATCTCATTTTAAACTTTTTTATTTATTTATTTTTTAATTTTAATTAAACTAATTAGTTATTTTAATTTTAATTTATAATTATTTATATTATAAAATAATTATTTTAACTAATACATTCTTAATTATCTACTAATTACATCCCTCCTAGAATACCGTATCTACATCCCTCCTAATTATTTATATTATAAAATAATTATTTTCACTAATACATTCTTAATTATCTACTAATTACATCCCTCCTAGAATACCGTGTCTACAGTATAGCAAACACGGTATATGGAACGGAGGGAGTATTATATAGTGTTATTTTTTTTATAATTTTTAAAACTTATAAATAACATCAAATATTTTATTATTTTTTATATATTTAATTTATAAAAATATTTTAAATATTACCCCCTCCGTCCCATAACTATATATTTATTTGTTTTTTGCACGGAATTTTAGAAATATTAGTATTATATTGAGATATAGTAGGAATAAAGTAAAAATGACTAAAATGACCTTTTAGTATTGTATGATATAAAAGTAATGATATATCTGTGATATATTGGAAGTTGTAAGGATATTTATAATATTAAGTAGATAGTACATTTAAAATGGATACTTTGTTATGTGAAAGACTAAAATAGAAAAATAAATACCTTGAAGTAAATTAATTAATTAAATTTATAAATTTTTTATTACTTGATATACAAAGTAATAAATATTTTTAAATTAAATAAATTAAAATATCATAATATTATTAATATTTATACAAATTATAAATAAAAATACTATATAGAATTGTTTGATTAAATATCGTAAATACAATAGAAATTAATTATAAAATTAAAATATAAATATAAATAGAATTTATTTTATAAATAATAAAATAAAAATTACAAATTATAAAATAAATAAGTAAAAGTATAATTTTTTAAATAAATTTCTAATTTAGAATAAAAATAAAATAAAATAAAACTCATCCCAAAGGATGATAACTGCTTGAATAAATATAAGGTGGATTGGAGTAACCGAATCTTTATTTTGCAAAGTGAGTTGGAAATGATCTACCCAAAAATAAAAAAATAATTTTATTTTTTTTTCATTTCTAATCAAATACTTCTTCCATTCAGCTAATTTATCCAATATCTGTGTACGAAGTTTTAGGTATAATGCAACGAAATAAATACATTGTTACAATTTTAAGATTCTCTCACTTCCTTTTCCTCCCTTCACCTTGTTTGGACCAGACCCCGAAAATGTTAAGCTAAGCGCTATGATTAGTCGTTAATCAGCATCTTAATCTAATTATATATATGACGGTAATCAATTCAAAAATCGACACGTGTTCTTCCTCTTCCCTCCCATCGATTGTCATCACGCAGTGGAGGTTTATTTCTTCAATTCGATCACCTTAAATAAAGTATCGTCTATGCCTTATGAGATGTAGGGTTTCGATGTGATCTGAACGACGTGATTTTTCATTCTTTTATTCTTAACAAAATATGGGTTTGGCCTTTATGATGTCTGTACGATTTATTTGTGGAGATGTTATTAGGGTTTAAATTTGTTCCGCTTTAGATGAATTCTGTCTCTCCCCGGCTTTGAATCGTGATTGAATTTTCTTTGTTATAATCGCAACTCTTTGGTTAATTTCGTATTCCTGGAAGCTGGATATTCTCGAATTGAACCACTTGTACGTATGCGTTCTGAGAGGGTAATGTAAGGCAGGAATGAGCTTGAGCAATGCTTGTGTGCAGATATGTGGTATTGTGCATTATTCTGTAGTTGTTCAAAGTATTTGCCAATCAGATGTATTTGACTGAGAGATTATATCCAGGCTATTTTAACCAGTAGTATTCAATACATCATCATTATATCTGTGTTTGATCCTTGGTCTTGGTAAGGATGAAGACTTCGGTTTTCCAATTTTACTTATATTGATAAGATTGTTACCCCATAACACGTTTCTTACAATTTGAAGTGCCAATTTATTTTTTATTTTTATTTTTTTTGTGGCAAATTCAGAAGGAAATTCAAGCTCTACTAACTATTGAATGTCATTATCCGACATTGTCTATTTTTCAGTTAAATTTGATGATGATAAAAGCGATGCTCCTTAACATGCATCTAGTAACCAATCCATCTATATTTTCAATTTTTTCAATGTAATGTTTTAATATGTCCTGTCTACTCTCTGCTTGCAGAATTTCATTCTGTTTATGTAACTTTTTGCCCCTTTAGGTGTTTCTTACATGTTATTCACTGGAATGTATTATATATTTATACTATTAAAATGGTTTTTTTTTTTTTATTATTGTTATTATTGATTTTTTTTTTCAAAGTATAGTAGATCTATAGTATATGATCCAATAATAACACAATGTGGAGCAAAGCCTTCCCAATCGTTGCTTCCACTGCAAGTTTGAGCCTTGTAATGTATGGAAGTGGAAGTGCAATTAGACATGCTTCTACTTCATTACTCCCAACTATTTATTCTGTCTTTGATTTCCTTCAAGTACTTTCCATATTGTATTGTAAGGTTTAAGTTTTTGTTGTTGTGGAATCCTTCTTATTTCAATTCCTCAATCTTGTGTAATTCCCTGCCTATGTGAACAGTGGTTTCTGGGACGAATTCAACTAATTGACCTGGAAAAATATGACAATTGCCAGAACTGGAGTATTTGTGGATGATTATTTGGAGTGTGAGTTGTCGGCTAACGGTTATGGATTTATTTCTATATAATAATTTTAGATAATGTTATAGATTGAATCTAACTACGTACAATATTATTATTTCCAAAGATTCCAGCACGTTGCCTGCAGAGCTTCAAAGGCTTCTCAACACTATTCGAGAATTGGATGAGCGTTCCCAAGGTTGTCCTCTCTCTTACGTGTGTGTATATTTAGAGTGATTATGTGTCATATTATGTATTCGGCATAATGTAATAGAATTTCTCGTTTGCTTATTCATGAAAAAGCAATGATAAACCAGACAAGGCAGCAAACCAAGTATTGTCTGGATGTGGCATCTCAAGGTGGCTCCACTTATGGGAGAAATGATGAGGATGAGGCTTTCGAAAAGCTTCAAAAAGAGATTGAGGCAAACCAGGACAGTGCTGTTAAACTTTGCACCGAGAAGATTCTCTTAGCGCAGCAAGCTTATGACCTTGTAAGTGTTCAATAACATCAATGTTATTGGTAGCAGTAGGGTCTTAGCACCCTCCCAAGATCTTTTTCATTCTTATACTGGAGTTTATGGTGATGCTTTACAGGGACTGTTCTTGTTGAGGAAATTAAGTATTAATCTTCAGTACTCTATGGGATATACATCACCATTATTGTTGTTTATTCAGAATGTTTGATGTGGTTGTAGGATGTAAAAGTATTGTAGTGCATTTACGTGTCAAGTTGCTTCATTGTTGATTGTAGGTTCTCTACTTGTATTAGGTCTAATTAATTATGTTTCTGCTACCATGTAAAGTTTGAGAAGTGTGTAATAATTTTAGTTGACGGCTTAACTCTGATGGCATGTTATCATATGGTTCAATTTTTTGGTCTCATTTGCTAATTTATATAATAAATAAGCTTTAGATGTTGTGACTAAAATGTTTTTGTTTGCTGACTGTATGCTGCTCGTGAATCTGTTAAGAGGGGACTAAAGATGGTATTTGGAAGAGAGGTCCTCAGTTTGTTTCTTTCTTCTCTCTTCAGGCGTGGTTCTTTTAATTAGAACCACCTTCTCAGTTGGTCATTTGACACTTTGTTAACACGGTAGGCTCAGCATTATCCCTGCCCTTGTATCACGAAGTTCATAAATTTTGCTTCTTTACTACTTCCCTCCAGATTGATGGTGACATAAAACATCTTGATGGGGACCTGAGCAACTTTGCAGATGATCTAAAACAAGGTACCCAACTCCTTGCCATTTTAACGTGCATTCTTATTTTGTGCTTAGAAATGGCATTTTAGGCATGGGGTTTTATTATTGTTTGGAAATGTACTTCAAACACAACCTGTTATGGATTTTGTGCCATCTGACTTGACTAATATAGGAAGGCCAATGCTTTGTTCTGTGTACAACCTTTTTAATTGATTTCCATTTTCTGCAGAAGGAAAAATTCCACATGATGAGCCAATTGTTCTTCCTCCATTGCCATTTGTTCAGAAAGCAGAAAAGCGTAGAGTTGTTTATGTAACACCTCAATCGAAGAGGCTTGATAACAGGGATAGTTGGGATAGGGAGCGTGACAGAGACTCCGATCTTTTGCCTCCTCCTCCTCCTGGCGTTGCCTTTAGGAAAGACTTTGCTTCATCTACTGAACTGGATCAGCCCATAGATCCAAACGAACCCATCTACTGTGTCTGCAACCAGGTCTAATACTTACAATAATACTTGCTGCTAGTGATTATTTGTTGTTGCAATGAGTTTATTTGGAGCAAGCCACAAGTGAAGCTTTCCTTGTTGTACAGGTATCTTTTGGTGATATGATTGCTTGTGACAATGATAATGTAAGCCCATTTTTTTTTTTTTTTTTCTGCTTAATCTTCAATTCATCAACATTACAACTACCTGATTGATCTCGACTTATTACTGGCAGTGCCAAGGAGGTGAATGGTTTCACTATTCTTGCGTTGGTCTGACCCCGGAGACTCGGTTTAAAGGAAAGTGGTTCTGCCCCACCTGCAGGCAACTACTGCACTGATTCGATTCATTCGTTATTGCCTGCCTGCCTGCCTAACTTTTAGGGAGGTTATTCTGTGAGTTCTTACATTACAATCCCTGAATGAATAATTTCTGCTGTGATATGATATGATATATATGAGTGAGCACAGATGAAGAATCCAATCCATTTCTGCATTGATACAGGGTTTTTTTTTTTTTGTTTTTTAGATAAATAAAATTAGTGAATTTTTTTATATTTGATTATATGAATGAATAATATACACAGCTAAGCTAAGCTAAGAGATTAATGTGTACGCTTTGCCTTTTGGATGTTAGGATATATATTATCTTAGCTGTCTACCAAAAATGTTAAAAGTAAATTAGTCGGATGATATTTTGCAGCAGCATATACTCTGAAGTTTTATCTCAAGCTTATAATTATAAGAGTAAAGATAAATAGGATGTTAACTATTCTCTGTTTTCAAACCATAAATATTATCCCATATTTATTTTGGTTTTGGAATTTTAGCTTTACATTGGAGATAATGAAACCCAATATGTTATACCTATTAAAGGTGTGTTTGTTTGGGGATTGAATTTTAAATCCGATGCTCATCTCATTTTTTTCCCCCTCCTCAAAAACATTAAATCAAACACATATTTTTTATATTATACTAAAAATCAATTTTACATTCAAAACATCTCATCAACATCTATTTATATTACATCATACAATTATTCAAATTCAAAATTTTTACTATTCAAATCCCAATTCAAAATCCAAATTTCCAAACAAACACACCTTAGATGGAATTAAAACGAGTGAGCGTGGGAACGGGAGTGGAGAGTGAATCCACTTCCGGTGCAGGCAGTCAAGTGCATATGAATGCATGTATGATGTATATATCTCATTTTAATATTACATTCGCCGTTCAATTTTTATTTTTATTTATTTATTATTATTATTATTATTATTATTATTATTATTTAAATTTATTCCTTTTTATTTATTTTTTTTCTTTTTTCTTTTTAATTTGTATTAGGTCAAATAATGAGCATTTTCTTACAACGAAGGGAGTATAAAAACTAAGCGAGCATCATACTTCTTCGAATTCTAACTTGGATTAATTAGAAGATCAACCGAACCGATGGGCGTTGGTAGTATCTACTTTTAGAGCACACAGCTGCAACACGGATACTTAAAAAAGTATCTCTTCATTTTTATTTTTATCTTTTCTAATACTCTGTATCCTAATAAACATAATAAAAATATACTATTACTATTTATATTTATTGAGCACAAAAAATAAGATTTGGGTTTGAATCAGAAGAGTCATTTGGTTGAAAGGTTGTTGGGGCCAAGTCGGTTGGACGGTTGCCCTTACGGGCAGTTTTCATCTGAGTATGGGCTTTGGGACTGTTGGGTGGTTGGTTACAAAGGTTACCAACGTAGAAACGGATTTGGTGAGACGGCTGGTCGGTTGGTCAAAGGTAAACAATATGGAAGCGATTTTTTACGATTACCGACGTGAAAATAATTTTTTTACGATTACTGACGTGGAAGCGGTTTTTTTGGCGGTTCAAGGGTAACCAACATGGGAGCGGTTTCGGACGGTTTGGTTTTATATGTATATAAGCAATCTCGATGATAGAGGATAGACATTTTCTATCACACAAAATTCCAAGAGAATCTCGTCGAGGATCATCATTTTAGTTTTTCAGCTTTCCTTTTTTTCTTTACCAATATTATGTACTGCATGTGTAGGGATCTGTGATCTAACACACTTGTTTAAGTTCAAAATATATTTTTCGAATTTTACTATTTATTGTTGAAATTTTTTCAAGTCAACAAATTGACGACCACAGTGGGAGAAAGACAAAATTGTTGATCCTACGTCTAACGAAAATTTCATACAACTCCGATATGGTCGAGTCGTTGCAAGGAGCTTCATGGTAGGTTCTCAATTTCAAGGCCTCAGCACAACCATTGAGGCCACCACGGCAACGCCACCATCAATTCCCACTAGGGGGGTCATCTCCCAAATACCATATGAATGGTTAAATCATGTTCAACAAATAAACAATCACCAAACAACAACCATGCAGATAATGTTGCACGAGCAACAAAACTTGATACTGAACATGTTAGATCAAGCCCTGTCGAGAGTTATACTTCACTCCGCGCTTTCATCTCCAGGAATGTCTCCGTCGCGCTTTCAGGCAAATTTTGCAGAGCTGTCATTCGTGGACAACACAATTTCAAGTGCTATCGCATGGCCGTCATTCCTGGATACCACCATTCCAAGTGCTACAGCACCTAGTACGGCAGAAGAGAGAGGGAAAATTCCCCTCACTTTTCCAAATATCCCTCTGAGGACTCGGCTTGAGCCGTTTCAACAGAAGGATGACCGACCTTGAGTTTATCCTCATTCCCATTGCAACGGGAAGGATCGGAGACAGCCGTCCAACAGAAAGTCGGTTGGCCTCAAGATATGTCTACCAGACTCATCTCCAGCGGGAAGTCGGTTGGCCTTAGGAGAGTAGGCCGTTGGAGGATCGGTCGCTAGTTGACCGATTTTGGAAGGGCCAGCCGCTGGAGGATCGGTCGCTAGTTGACCGATTTTGGAAGGGCCAGCCGTTGGGGGACCCAAAGACGGAAGCCCAACCATTGGAGGATTTGTGGCCGAAAGGTCGGTTGGTGGTTGCTTAAGAGAAGCTAGTAGTGTGGTCGGGCAAGAGAGCCAGGGTATACCTTGTCGGCAACCGAATTGACGCGCAAGAAACTGGGGTTGGTAGTTGAAGACTCCCAATGGTTGTTACGGACTCCCAACCGTCACTTCTTGCGCCGATCGAGAGTGACGTTTGGGAGTCAAAGGAGGATGAGGCAAGTTGTTGAGCACAATAAAATAAGATTTGAGTTTGAGTCTAGGAAGGATGAATGGATGGGCCCAGTGACGATCCAGTGGAGGGCCAGAGTCATTCGGTCGGATGGTTGTTGGGGCCAGGCCGGTCAGACGGTTGCCCGGGTAGTTTTCATCTGATAGTTTTCATCTGAGTATGGTCCTTGAGATTGTTGGTCGGTTGGTCACAAAGGTTACCAACGTAGAAACTGTTTTTGTGGGACGGATGGTCGGTTGGTCAAAGGTAACGGACGTGGAAGTGGTTTTTTACGTTACCGACGTGGAAGCAGTTTTTTTACGGTTACCAACATGGAAGATATTTTTTGGGCGGTTCAAGGGTAACCGACATAGAAGCGATTTCAGACAGCTTGGTTTGATATGTATATAAGCAACATTGATGATAGAGGATAGGTATCTTCAATCATATAAAATTCCAAGAGAATGTCGTTGGGATCATCATTTTAGTTTTTTAGCTTTCATTTTTCTTTTATTTAGCAATATTATATATTTTTTGTCTAGGGATCTGTAATCTAAGACATTTGTTCAAATTCAAAATATATTTTCGAATTCTACTTTTTATTTGTTGAAATTTTACCATCAATAATATCATTGTATAAAAAATAAAAGTAGGCATTTTTTGGACATCTTTACTAAGAATGTCCAAGAAATTTTTTTATTATTTTTTAAAGAATGTATTTAACAATTAGCTGATAGTTGTCAGTTGATTTAATTAATTTTATTTGATTGAATTAGTTAATTGATTTAGTTGTTTATATTAAATTGATAAGTAAAATATTAATTGTTAATATTAAAAATGACAATTGAGATTATTTATATTTTATTTTTAAGAAAATACAAGTGTGTTCTTTTTGGAGTAGAATTATTGAGCAATTTTTATTATTAGTTATTGTATAAAATATTTATTTCATTGTTTTTAGAATTTAAGAAAATAATACTACCTCGGTCCGTAAATAAATTTTTCATTTATATATAGCGTCATTATTTTTAACATTAAAATATTTTTATATTTCTATAACTTTTTGTACAAATGTCATTATATTAGTATTATAAGACACTAATGCAAGTATTTTTGTCATTTTCCTTAATTTATACTATATTTTATAAAAGTAAATGAAAAACTTTACTCTTAGACGGAAATAGTATATTTTATTGAAAAATATAAATTTTTTTATTAAGAATTGTGTAAAATATAAAATGATAAATATTTTGTATATATATTTTATTATGTTAATTATTGATTAATTTATTATTAGGTGAATTGGATATAACTATTTCTGTCAATATAATTGTTTGAATTAACTGTAATACCCCGTAAAAACAATCGCCAGAAGTTCGTCGGAACTTGCCGGGGTCTGAGATGGGGTCGAACAAATTTTATTTTGGACCTAATTTATTTTGGGCTTATGTGATATTTTTATTATAGGAGTTGAAGGATTTTATTTAAGTGTTGTAGTGAAAGAATTTTGACCTGGCCCATTTTGAGCCCAAGGATTTCAAAAAGCTCAATTCTATTATATCTATTAAAAAGAATATTGAGATTGAGAGAATAAACCAGACGTTCTCTCATGCTAGGCGCCGCCAACAATCTTCCTCTTGGAGGTTTTTTTCTCCAAAACTCTTTCATTCGGTCTCTTCTCGTTAGATAAGTGGGATAAATCTTAGATAATTGAGATGTTATCGTTTCTAAACCTATTTGTTGATTCTTGGTGGCTTCTTTTAAATTACTTTTAAATGGGTTTGTTCTAAATCCTTGAATTTTTCCATCTTCCCTTTAGGAAGTTTATTAGGATGATATTTAGGGTTATAGGGGAATTTTTACAATAATTTAAGTAGGAAAGTGAATGATTTGTGAAACGGGTTAGAAACTCTAATTTTCCCTAACCTAGCTATGATTTTCAAGAAAGGATTTGTGATCATTTTTAAATATTGAGATTCTTCGGGTTAGATTATGCTTACTTGGATGGATATATGATTTAAACAGTTAGTCGAAAAAAATAAAATGAGACTTTAATGAACTTCTTGGATTCTAAATACTCTATTTTTTGCTTGCTTGGTTAAATCTTGAAAATTGGAATGTTTTGAGTTTAAAACTCCCTTTTTAACATTTGTCTAATAGCATGTTGAGTATTGGGTCAAATTGGTAATTGAAACTACCCGTCGAGTCCGATCAACTCGTCGATTGTTTGGATGATAAGACATAGCCTTCCGTCTCTGTGCCTTGCAAACATGTGAGGGTATACCAGTATTTTAATATAACTAGCTAACCTCGAACTAGACCC